TTTAAGTTACAACTATCGAAGCAGATGAAATTTTTTTGAATATTTTATTGTTAGCTTGACAGTTGTTATAATTGAATATTAGTAGATAAGTCTTTTAAAATTAAATTTCAGGCAAAAAACATGCGTGTAAGTTTTACGGGTGTGGACGAAATGACAAATTCAACTATTTGGTAATGAGCCTCCAGGGGAAGAATCTCGCTGATCTTAGAAGAGAAGTAAGAATTTTTAAATTGAATAATTGGATAGGACACTCTAATACATTAAATTATATTGAACTTCTGTTTTAGGCACCAAAACAATGCTTTAGTTTGAGCACTGCTATACGATTGGGTGTACAAATATTAAATGCAATTAGGGAAATACATTCTATCGGATTTTTACACAGGGACGTCAAACCGGTACGATTTTTTCACCATTTTTTGGAAATGTGGTTTTCAAATTCTCTTCTTGCTTGAAAATTATGGTTTAACCTTAAGAAAAAAAATTCTATACATTTTAATTAGTCATTTATTTACCATTTTTCACTCCTTTGCTCATGCAGCTATTTACTAACTTGTTTATTATGACTTTCATTATATTTACTTACGTGCTTCCAATCTTTTATTAGTTCAATTCAGTTCATTCATTCAATTCACTTGTTTCACTCGCGTTCATTCATTCATCCAATGGCTAAATCATCCACTCATTTTTTTCATTCATTCAATCTACATGTTAAATTCATCTAATCACTTGATTCATTCACCTGCTTCATCACTTTAGTTTCATTCATTCATCCCTTCGTTCATTCATGCATTCATCCATTCTTTCATTCACTGACTCACTCATTCACCTAATCATTCAAGCTCCATCCGATCATTTGTCCAGCCCATTTGTTTATCCATCTTTAGACTATTCATTCGTCCCATATGCATTAGTTCATCCGATGAAACTCACATAATCACTTATTTATCATTGATCTATTCCATTTCTAGATTTTATTTCAAGACTTTGTTTCTTTCAGTCAAATTTTGCCATGGGTCGCAGCACATCAACGATGCGCAAAGTATTTATGTTGGATTTTGGCTTAGCTAGGCAATATCTGAATGCTAAAGGCGAAATTCGAAGTCCACGAAGTGCTGCTGGTTTCCGAGGAACAGTACGTTATGCGGCAGTTTCGGCACATAAAAACAAGGTACGCGTAATTTTTCAGTCACTCC